TCAAATACTGGCAGGAATCCCATGGAGAACTTTTTTTCCCAGCTCCACTACATATTCAAGATTGGAAAAGTGCTATCGAAAAGTAGTCCCCAGGATAGTAGAGCGAAATCCTATTTCTAGCCACATTTTGAGCTTCAGCCTATGGCCTAGATGTCTCATTAAAAACTAAAAATCCTTTAGGGAAAAAAATCCTTATTTCAACGTCCAAGTCCCACCTCCTCCTTTTATTTAGACAGTTGGGGAACTGGACTTTTCTTTAGTAGGGTGCAGTCATTTTTCCGTTGGGTTTACTGGACGTGTTTTCCTCTTGTTTCCTCTCTATTTTAGATATACAATAATTGGCAGTTAACATTTCAAAACTGCCCATTATAATAGATGGAAACGGACACGAAGGTTCAGATGCTGTGTAGTCCATTCCATTAGAGTCCATACCTTTTTTTTTTTTGCTCTCGGTCCCCACCTTTGTAAATTGGCAGGAGGGGGAAGAGAAAGCGGAGAGAGAAAAAATGCAACCGAGCGCACGAGTAGGATGATCTCGGAATCTGGAGACGACTGTTTGGAAGCTGATTCTCCGCACGAAGCGAGCCTCTCCCCGCTCTCCTCCCCCTCTGAAGCCGGGCGGCACCGCGGGAGGAGGAAGAGGAGGAGGAGGAGGAGGAGGAGGGACATCCAGACCTGGAGCGGGAGCGGGAGCGTCGTCCCGGAGGAGAGCAGCAGCTTTCGGCCCTTGGTCCCCTCGCCCCCGGCCCCCTGCACCATGACGTCGGGGGAGTTCGCGCACTCCGCCCCCCTGCTGGCGCCCAAATCCCACCGGAGCCTGCTGTACAAGGCTCTCTGCTTCCTCCTGCTCGTTTTCCAGGGCGGCGTCCTGGACTTCTACCTCATCGTCTTCACCGACCTCTACTGGTGCTCGTGGATCGCCACGGACCTGGTGGTCATCTCCGGCTGGGGCATCTTCTTCCTGAAGAACGCGCGGAGCCAGAGGGAGCGGGCCTGCGGCTTCCACCAGAAGAGCTCCGTTTTCGGCTGCAGCCTCGGGGAGTTCACCTACGCGTACCTGGCCTGGCTCATCTACGTCATCGCCTGCACGCCGAAAGTGGTGCTCATCCTCGAAACCTCCATCCTGGACCTGGTGGCGCTGAAGGTGCCGTGCGGGCTGACCGGGTTTAAGATCGTCGTGCTGCTCTCTGCGCCGCTGCTCTTCTGCCTCATCAACTCCATCGTGGTGGATTTAAACGGCTCCACCCGCCACCACTCCCAGAGCTGCTTCGTGGGCACCTGCCTGGATCTGCTCGACAGCTTCACGCTGGTGGAGATGCTCCTGAGGAACGAGATCCCCGACAACGTCTACCTGAAGTACACCGTGATCTCGGTGTACTTTGTGGCGCTGACCGCGCCGGTGCTGTGGCTCTACGAGCTGACCGCGTCCGAAATGCGCTGCGGGTGGCTGTGGGCCCGGTTCTGCGCGGCCTGGGTGGTCAACGCGCCCCTGCTGGTGGTCAGATGTTTCCAGGTGTACGTCTACGAGACGCCGGTGCCGGTGTTCATGCTCAAGAACGTCTTCTTCCTGGCGTGCAGGCTGCTGGAGCTGGTGGAGCAGTGCGCGGCCGTGCGCGGACTCAGGAGGCTGTCCGGGGGCAACAACCCTGCCCAGTTCTCTCACTGCGTGTCCGAGAACGACATGTGCCCTCACGGATATGTCAACACCCTCGCCGTCACGCAGTCTTAGTCCCGTTGGCCTGTAGTGATGGCGAGTTGGTGAGTGGCCACCCTTTCGGACACTCGGACACGCCTGAAAAAACGCAGCTCACTCCAAGTGCAATTCTGCTATGTAGTGGTAAAGTTGGAGCTTGGCGTCAATCCTTTGGATGTGTAGTGGCCCGTGGCACCCCACTGGACCCCTTTATTCAGTCTGACTCTGTTTAGTAGTTAATTGATAGGCTAGGTTGAAACTCAACCCAAAACATGTAAACTACATTTTGATATTACGTTTTTAATAGGGATATCAAAGAGGTCTGATTCCCCGAAAAAAACAAACAAAAAAACATGATGATTTTGTACAGCTGGGCCATCTAGAAGTCTATAAAGGGGGACTTAACCCCTTGGTTAGTACCTAAAAATATTTCCATATAGTGGTACTGCCACTACATAGGTATGTATAGTGGTTATATAACCAGTTAACAAGACATCTTCCGTTCTATTTCTTTTCTATCATGAAACATCATTCCGTTCATTATTATTAAACTCATCAAACTATATGGGGCATGGGAAAAGTTTCACCAACCAGATTTGGCCCGGCATAAATATAATGCAAGCTTTTTCATAATAAATGTTTAATCAAAGCAGCCACATACCATAACTAATTCCACTTTCTATCATAAAAGCAGACTGTAGACCTATTCTACAGTCACTTTGGGTAATTTCTTCTTCTATTTCTTACCATAAAGACAGCCTGTTGCAGGTCTAAAAATAGTACTGACAGAAATTACTCTATAAGCGTATTAATTAGAACATGATTATGCTGGATAGGAATAAAGCATGTTTTCTCAAATACAAAGGAATAAGATAGTCAGTTTGTATTTTTCCCTCCGTATAAATTTAAGATATACTTTGAACACAACTAGGGTTAGGCTTTTATTTGTAAGAAATTCAGTATTTGGATTTTGTTTATGTCATTTTCCTCTGCTACTAACAGTAAGGGTGATGTAGGGGTCTATAGACTTCCTTAGAAATGTCCATCTGCGTAGTCTTAACAGGCAGGAAATTTATCAAACAGACAACAATAAATTAATATAAAATAATACTACTATAGGCTTGTTTTTGGGAGGGCTAACAATCATTTTAGATATTTTTACAATGCCCATGTTGTGTCAGCTGTAGAAAGAGTTTGAGTTCTAGCCATAATACAAAGACATTTTCAAAACTCAGACAAATTCTTTCCCAAAATACTTTTTAATCATTAATGTGGTTATATTGCATTTTCATTAAGTGAAGAGATTGTTCCAAAATTCATTTAAAGGTGCAATGTCAAAATGAACCTTTTCTGATTCACACTCTGGGGCAGCTACTTACATCAAGGGCTGTTTTAATTCATTGTCAACATTGCTTAAAGCACTGCCTAACACCATTCATTTAATACTATGTGCTTGAAAGAGAGGGAAATTGCCTGAGCAAAACATTGACAGATCATCTTTCACCTTTTTTTGTCTGGTTTAGAACCTCGATCATTAACGCCTGATAACCACATATACATTACATTCTTATGTGTCTAAGAAACAACATTAGGCCTGCTCCCCTTTCTAATTATAAAATGCCTTCTAAGTCTAAAATGTTTCAAATTACCTCATAATCATTACCAAATGTATCAAAGCTGGTGAGCATCCTGAGTCAGCTATGTCATTTTGACATGAGATGTGGTGTATTTTTTTAAGATAAAAGCATCTGCAAGCAGACTTGTCTAGCACATCATTGTGATGTTGAAATGAGTTGGAATAACTGTATGTTGAGCGCCTGAAGATGATAAAAAATCTTGAGGTTTTTGCATGGAAACTCACCTTCTACTATTCCACAAGTTAATGGATTTCCAATTTCCTTAGAGGTTCAATGTCGTTGGTACTATCTTCGGTCATCGGTACTAGTTTTCCGAAGTCTCATCCTCAGACCAATCTACAGGTGCTACTTTTTAACCAAATAAAGAGATCAGCCTTTTACAAAATAACAAACTATAATGAATAGGACATTGCTGAGTTTGTTGTATTCAAATGGAGTATAGAAGGACAATCTATATATATGTGTGTTTCATGTCAAAGATGCTGTTTAAGTGATTCTGTGGTTTTAATTCCACTGTCTGGGCTCTGACTCTGCTTCGTTCATGTCGGTGGTTAATGTTTTTAGTCTATAATAATGTTGTCTGCAGGGTTACACTGGATTTAACCATGTGGCTGACAGTGACTACTGAAAGTAGGTGATGCTAAAGGACAGTACCACCGCAAATGGGGGTTCTACAGTTCTTGTCATGTGGGATATGTTATGACTTGCTGTGCCACTGTATTACAGTTTCTGTCATCTTTTGGAACACAGGTCTACAAATTGCTGTTCATTCTCATGACAGATGTTTTTCCAACAACTGTGTTTCCTGTTTTAGCTTCTTTCTGACATTTTTCCCAGACAACACCCATTTTCTGTTAGAGATTTATTAATCTGGCAGAATTTTTAGTGGGAAGAAAATCTGTCAAAGGTGAAGACTAACACAATATGCTGCTGTAAGTGCCTCTCAAGCATTTAAAGCAGAAAAACTGGCTCCGTGATGAAATTTCTTGGCAAGATTGTGATTGCAATATACGTGAAAAGTCTTTATTCTATGTGTTATTTCTTTAGAACTTTGAATGACACAGAAGAAAAAAGTATTTCTTTATCCATGGGACTATTGGGAAACATTGTAGTTCTCCTACTTGTACATTTGCTGCCGAGCAAATTCTCTATCTTACCACTTTTGAAGAAACAAGATAAACAAAAATTACAGAGCAGGTGTGAAAAGCACTACTCACAATTATTATTTCTCCTTATGCCTAAATTTAATCTTCATGTCTTAATGAGATAGCTTTTGCGCTTTGTGAAGCAGTTTCTCCACCTTTCCAATGCTAATAATATTTGTATTATAGGTACGATCATAATAGCCCTCAACTCAATTATGTGACTTAAACTACTATGTAGTTAATTGAAAAAATCTAATTACTACGTTAAGCTAAGAAAAGAAAATGTGTTTCCCCGTACCTGAGGTATACACAAAATAATTGTCAGTCCTGCACGTGAATGCTGAACGAGACTTAAATACGAGACTAAAATAAGTTTGATCAGTTTGTATCTTTTTTGTAAAAAGAGTAATGTGTAAGTGCATATTATTACACCAGTATTCCCAGTATAGCTCCTCTCATTAACATGTTTTTCCATTTCTTTTATCAGATACCTAAAGGATCACAAATTTAGACTTTTTGATTTAATTTGAGACTCAATTGTAGTCATTAGGGATGGGACGGTTTCTGAAAACCGTCCGAACCGTTCGGTTCGACTGTCTCGGTTCGGTTCGCGTGTGTACCGCACGGTTCATGCACTGCTCCTTTTTCTCAGAGGGAAGCGTGTTCACTCCAGAGCAGAAGGGGGCGCTACTGCGCCCAAAGCCAACCACCAGTAGTAAACAAGAAGAAGAAGCGAAGCAGCGTAGCCGATAAAAATCAGACGCGCCAACAGCAGTTTCTAGCTCTGCTGTATAGACCTCTTTGTATTTAGAGTCAAGCACATGTTGGAATTAGCACTATTTCCTCGCTTGCAATGCCAGAATCTCGCCTATTTTTAACCTAAGACTGTCACAATAATGTATCAAATGTCAGACTGCTTTTTTCTTTCAGTTTTAACTAGGGATGGGGATCGAAACCCGGTTCTATCAAGGACCCGGTTCCACTTTTTTCAAAACCCGAAAATCAATAACGTTTGGGCTTATCGATACCACTATCGAGTCTGGTCGTTTTTTTATGATTACAATAGTAATTGTGAAATCTGTGTTGTAATCGGCAGCATACAAGCTAGTTAGCTTGAAAAGTAAATAAAGTTTCAGACGTGCTGCGTGATGATGTGTTCAGATTGGCTCAGTAAAACGACAATTAGGTTATCATGATGCGTTCAAGTGTAACGTAAAGAAAAGGGAAATTGAGTTTTTGGCGAGAAACATGAGTAATACAGTTGTATAATGCTCTAATTATTTTACAATATATAATTAAACTACTGATGCCAACATTTATTAAAAATTACATTTAATTTAAAATACAATTATTTATTTGTTAAATATTGTCGCATCGTCTTTCCACCAAATAACAGAAAATTATCGATAGTGGTATCGATAAAGACTCGGATCGATAAGGAGTATCGATAAAAGTATCGATATCAATAAATATTAACGATCCCCATCCCTAGTTTTAACCTGACTATACAAGACATAATAGATTTTCCTAACAATCACCATGTACCGAACCGAACCGAAAACCGTGACCACAAAACCGTGAAACGAACCGAACCGTGGATTTTGTGAACCGTCCCACCCCTAGTAGTCATATAAAGGATTTTATTCGAATACAGTCCTGAATTTTAAAATCCTGACCTGACATAACCACCAACCATGTAACTTAAATACAACATCTGGGCAGTAAATTTAGCTAAACGTGTGAGCATTATCTACCATAGTGAGTTATGAGAAGCAGAATGTCTTGAACATTTTAAAACTGGGTCCAATATTTTTAGTCACCAACTCGAATCCTCTTGTGTGCACAGACATTGTTACTGGGATGGTAGCCTAGTTGAATAACCCAGAGGTTATATTTAACTGTGTAACTGTAACTATAGCCCAAATCAACTGCACATGTAGCCATAGTTTACATTAATTATAAATCAAACAAAACATATTATGCCTCACCACTTAAATGAGAGGTGAAATGTCTTCAAGAACCAAAGGAAAGTCCAATAGCCTTTTCTTTTTGCCTTGACTAGAATGGTTGATGAAATACAAAGATATGTATATATATTTTTTCAGATTTATTTTGGGCTTTTGTTTTCTTGTTTTACTTATTTTGTGGGTGTTGAGCATCTTTTCAGAGAATATGTGAAACTTTAGATTTAATCAAAAGAAGAGATTAACTGCATATACCTTTTGTAAGGGATGAGGATGTTTATGCTAAATGCAGAACAAGAATTAGGCTGATCTTTAATTGAGTTTCTGGAACTTCATGCCACCATTTTACTTAAAGAGTTCTTCTATGTGATTGTAGCGGTTTTACTTTAGGACCTGTGGCTCATAATAGCTAATTATTAGAAATGTACATATGAAGGAGGTGAGAAAGATGATATATTAGTACAATATTAATAGGCGATATATATTTATTATTTTTAACTGCTGATAGTCTTAGAGGAAGGAAAGCAATCTTAATGTGGGTATGTTTTAAGTTGGATGTGCCTTTTGTGGAGCACAGGAGTGGCAGTCAGAGGAAAAACACTTGTTAAAAAAAACAAATCTTTAAAATCACTAACTAACTACTAGCTCCCTGAATGTGGTGTCCCAGTTCCAGTGGTTTCTTATTATTAATAATATTTTAAACCTTTTTCATTAAATGTATGACAATAATATCACACTAAAACCCACTTTAGAGTTGATTCGATAAAAATCTAAACACGCTGCCTTCATGTGCAAATTAAGTTTTGGTCATAGAACTTCCTGCATAAGTGAAAACACATTTCCTAAAAGCTGTCACTCCATCTCCCACATGCTTGTACAAAGCTGAAATAACTTAATTGCACAACCTCTTTCTTTAAAAGAGTAAGGTAAAAAGCTCAATGGACCTCACTCAAGTTTTAACTTATATCTCACAAAGTGCTTCTTCCTCACTGATTCAAAGAACCAGTGGAAGGATCCACTACGACGTTCCAATTTTTTAACAAGCGTTCTATTTTAAAGTATTTATTTTTAAAGCTGTTCACATTTCATAAAGGGGCAAACCATTTGTTTCCACAAACCAAAAAAATTAAACAAAATTAAAGCTTTACTTTCCATTTATTTCCCTTTTATTTGTCACTAACAGTGCTTTGCTGAATAAATGACAGTTACCATTTCACAAGTTCACACAGAAGTGGCTGTTGTTCAGGAGCTGATGGGGGAATCTTGCTACTGGACGTTTGATAGTCCATACACGTCACTGAAATCGAAAATCAGACAGCTGATTTTGCCTGTTCAGCACAAATCAATGCGCATCATTAAAACTGGCTTATCTGATATCTGATCTTTTAGAGGGTGGCATGGTGGTGTGGTGGTTAGCACCATCGCCTCATAGCAAGAGGGTTCTGGGTTCGAGTCCCCAGGGGAACCAGGACCTTTCTGTCTGGAGTTTGCATGTTCTCCCTGTGTCCGTGTGGGTTCTCTCCAGCTTCCTACCGCTGTTCAAAAACCTGAATGTTAGTTTGAATGGACATTCCAAAGGGGTGAGTGTGAGTTGTTCACCCTTGTGACTAATGGATTAGGCTCCTGTTCTTTTAGAACTGCCTTTTTAATGTTCTATGATGTTGTGAAACAGTAAGATTGAATACCCCCCAGACCCACCAACCCAGTTTCACTGTTGGTCAAAAGTTTTGTTTGCCAAAAAACATTATTTAAAAGAATAGTTCATGTCAAATAGATAAATTGTTTAAATACATGGACACTGTAATAAGACAGGTTGTATGCATTTATGTAAATATTGAAATAGCACTTAAAACATTTCTTTAAAAAATGTATCCCAGTGGAGTCTTTGTAGCTTAGGTAAAATTGACCATAGGAACATTTTGATTTCATATCCCACTTACGTGGGATAAATGTCAATGTTGGATCTAAGTGTGCAGATTCATATCCAAACTTTGATTTTGGAAACAAGTCTGAAACTTTCAAACTCTAGCACATAATAATAATAATAATAATCAGTTGTCCTGTTATGATTCTCAAATAGTACTCCAATTGAATATCTACTTATTTTTATTTAAATATTTTTTAATTAATCTTTTAAATTGAATCTATGCAGAATTTTTTAGAAACATTTGAATCGACAAATTAAATAGGAGAGGAACATTTAATATTGAAATACACTGCTAACCTGTTTTTTTCGCATTTGAATACATTTGTGGGAGGGACTGTCATAGTTCCCTACCGTAAAGTCTGCAGCTGAACTAGTCAAGTAACTTTGTTGTTTAAATTGTCAAAAAAAAGATGTCATCTATTTGGGGTTTATAGACTACTAAAGAATATCATCAGCAACATTTTAGTGCTGTGCATGATGAGAGCTTCAGAATTTTTAAGTAAAAAACTGTTATCTTATAGAATTTTGGACTTTATCTTATCATTTGTTATCAATAAACTATTGAATCAACTAATGATTTGCACGCTGACATTGTCATGTGCCCTCGAACGATAATGACAGAACACACAGTGGTTTAGCAGTAGAAGTTTTTCTCTGCATAACCGGTGACAGAAAACCCTGCAACTTTCTCATCGCTTGTGCTAACATATTTATTTTACACTCACTTGCAATATTATTACAAAATGCCAGTAAAATACTGTAACTTTAGTTACATGCATACAGTGCTGCTTTTAGATTTGTTCAGTATCAATTACAACATTTTTTTATCACAAGCAGGACATTACATTCAAATATATCTAAACATTATTTCAACAGTAGTGGGTGTTTAACTTGTATGAGAAAGCACGGTGTGTAACAGTAAGGAAAAGCTTTAATGTGTCTTCAATCGCACCAAACATAAGACATTTCATGGATCAGAAATATCTTCCTCAACCTTAGTGCAGTTGCAGCCGGTTTTCACAGCTTTCTTCCAAATGATTTACAAGGACATAACTGTTGTTTACAGATAGGATTGCCAGTGCTGTGAAGTTGTGTGGTGTACATCTGTATTGATATAATCACTGTACTCTAACACAGTATAATGTGGTCGAAAAGTGAAATAAAACAGAAGAAGAAAAAGTCAAGGAATCTGTTGTCTTGTGTCAATTTTATGCTGTTTGCAGAATACACAATATGAATACAGTTTAAAATGCAAAGTGGCAAATAAGCAGATTTTTTGGGCATATAAACTAAGAATGCAGATGTTGCCTCAGTCTCCCGTCATTTCAGTTCAAACTGTGTTGAATCCATGCCCCACTGCAATTTAGAACGTGTAAATTCTGCCTGACTAATGAACTTCCCCTCATGAACATCTGATGCTGCCTCCAGGAGAATTGAGAGCATGTTGTTCCAATATCATGAACAAAACTGATCTAATAAAACTCAAAAGATCGTAAACACTGTTACAGTGTCAACGTTTTTCTTCTGGACAGGAAAGTCTATGTTTTTTTTAAACAATAAATGAGCTATATATAAGAACATATAGAGACATTGATACAAATAAAATGTATATATGTAAAAAGGATCTTCACATTGGCCTTGCAAGTGTCCCTTCAGATACCTCATGGTTACAGCTGTCAGTCTTGGATATCATGTGATTCCTCTTCAAGATTTATGTCAAAATATCCAAAATTCTGCTGACAAAGCCACTCCTGAAATTTTGCTAAAGCAACCTTTGGATCCTCTTGAGAGGCTTCATGCTGGGAAGACATTGTGGAGTTGTAGCCTTGATCGGATCCCTGGCTTGCAACGTTTCCAATTGGCTCCAGATCCACTTCTTCCTCTAGCTCTTCTTCCAGCCCTTCTGACGGGAAAAGGCTCATTTCAGGAGAAGGGAAATGCTTGCTCTGTGTCACTAGATGTACGGAATCCGAAGCGCTTGAGTCCAGGGAGTTCTGTGGAGCTAAGTATGCTTGGTCTGAATGTGCAGTATGATGGCTCATAGGAAGCAAGGAGTCCTCTTCATCATCCTCAGTGGGTATTTGAGTCAAGGGATTCTCCATAGGGAGCAGGATGCTCTGGCTGTAAAATGGCTGGTTGTTCAGGACGGGCTCAACAATGTACACAGATTCTAGTTCCTGGCTGTGTGACAGCAAGTGATCTGTCAGCACCCTCTCATTGCTTGATAAATATTGATGTTTATAATCAGAGTTCACAACAGGTAGACGTTCTGCCACCGATGACAGATGGTGCTCTGGGTTCAGTTCAGGCGTCATAATGTGGCCACTGTAATAGTTTTCGTTGACATGTACATCATGGATGTAAACGGGAGATCCGTCTCTGATTAAAGGCACACACTCTAAAACCGGAGGGATTTGAAGCTGGTCAGTGAGGTGGTCGGCTTCGATCTCCACCTCTTCTTCATTGGGCTCGCACTCCTTCTCAAACCAGTCAGGATTTTCCACCTGATGGGCTCGGAACTTTTCAATGGCATTCTTAAGTGCTCTTCCTGAGGGACAATTGAAATATTCATCTGCACCGATGCCCTCAATGTGGTTGACTTGACCTGGCTGATACTTCTCAAGGTCTAAGATGCGGAAGAATAGTTCCTCAAAGTTCTTCATCAGGCTGTATTTGACTGTGATGTCAAAAACGGATGGGACGTCCTTTTCAGTGCTAATTTCTTCGAAGTAAGCCACCATGTATTTCCCAAGCCTGCCTGCCTGGTGTAAGTCTGGCAGAAAGATATTAAGGAACGGAATGAGGATGTCATCTGTTGGAGAACGGATATCCTCCTTCAGTCGCACCTGTCCTTGTCCACACATGGCCATCCACTTTGCCTGAACACCCCGTGAGCAGAGCACCAGGATCTTGTCAGAGGGGTCTTTTAATTGCTGACGCTGCCACTCTAGCCAACGGAGGCGACCCACCATACTGACTGAGGTGGAGTCCAGCAGATCCACGAGCACATTGGTGCCACATTTGGCCTGGAGGAAGGCACAGAGCTTTAGAACTATGTCTCTGTAAAGAGGGTGGTCCTGCGAGTAGATGACCAGTACGTTAGGAGGTGGTTTAAGTGGCTGCTGCCGTAGTTTCCCGTCTATGCCAGCTAATGGAGAAGTAGTAGGTTTTTCTGAAAGTAGAAAAAAGTATCACCTGCGTCACAAAACAATTAAAATCTGGTTTGTTTTTTTAACAGTTGATGGGATTCGATGTTTTAAATGACAAAATATTGAATTTCAATGTTTTGCATACCTTGCTTTCTGCAGAAAACACACATAGAAACTGCTATTACTGTACACACCAAGACAAGTCCAACAGCAAAGAGCGTAAATGAAAGATCTTGATCTTTATTCTCTAGAACAAAAAATAGAGAGCACATTGATTAGAAACAGACTCTGTCACTTTAGTAAATGTACTTTTTTTGTTTTGTTTTACTCATGAAGACCAGTAATTTGTTTTAGGAACACTTCCTATCCACTGAAATACCTTAGCCAAAGGATATTTAAAGGTAATTTTCTAAAGGAGTATTGGATTGCAACAATAAAAGCAATATGATGTACTTGCTGATAAAAACCAACACAACTTTTTACATAGACTTAAAGTAAATGTTACTGTAAGTCATATTTCTGAAATTTCAACAAGCAACTGATCCCTTGTATGCATGCTTTTTCCTGCTTGAATTTAATAATAAACTTTACAATTGGTTCCTACAAAGTTCCTACATGATTGCAGCTAAGACGCCTCACAGTCAACACAAAACTTTATGTCATGTTACTCCATTGCATACCTTTTAACACATCACGGCAAATATTTTGGGTTGTTTTCCGTCGTGGACAGTCGTTCTCACATTGTGGGAAATATGGTATTATCTGAAGAGAAGAAAAAGCAGCTTAAAAACTTGAATGTATGTGATAATGGAGGACAATATTTAGGCATATAAAATCTAAGATCTTAGAATGAACAGGAAATATTTACCTCAGCATCAAACTGGCAGCACAGTCTTGGCCAATGATCGAGGGTGAATGTCACAGTCAAGGTCCCATTTGTCTAGGAAAACATTTTTTTAGGTGCAGTTTTTTATTATAGTGGTATATCAACTAATGGAAAACAATAAAAAATAAACGTTTGATTATCTAAATTATTATTTTATTATCATTATTGTTCATCATAACATGAGCATGCTCTGTGTAAGAGAATATCTTAAATCTGGCTAAAAGAGGATCTGCACAATCTGCGCAATCCATACAGACTAACATTTTACATCTAACTAACCACTGCCTATTCACAATGACTTTCCCTTTTCTCTTGTTTAGCAACAAAATCTACTCTTATGGATAACTTTCCCTGTTTCATTTCAATAAAAAAATCCATCAGTCAAAAATAAAAATATTAACAGTAGTACAGAATTTTTTCAATCAAAACATGCATCCGCCTCTCTTGCATATTTTGTTAACAGCTACTGACATTAACTCCATTAGCATGCTCAATGCTAACGCTGATGGAAAACAATGAGCTCCTGGGAGCTGGGACTCTGCTGCCCGTAAAATAAAGGACAAGATATCCTAATGTGTTAAATGATTAAAAAGTCAGTTTTAATTTAAATAATACTGTTTTCTAAACATACGCCTAACCATAAGCAAGTGGTTTGTGTAGTTTAAAACAACTAATTCTAAACAGTAAGTGAAAACAAAGAGAAAACTTATGTCAGCCCAGCCACTTTGTTAGCAATTGGGTCTGTAGCGCTATTTCAATCCAGTCAACACGTTTAACCCCTATCTTTTTTAAGAATCAGATGGACAGATAGAAAATATGATAATATATATTATTATCTGTATTAGACTGGAGTGGTATCCCTTTAAAATTCATTTGATAATTGTTAACAATTCTAATGAGAGACCTTTCTTATAGTCATCAGAAAAATATTGCTTCAAGGCAGTCAGATATTTCCTGTTCTGCAAAGGAAAAAAACTAGGGTAAAAAGTAGGTGTAGTTTCCTTATTCGTTCTTTTGTAATAAGCAGTCATGGTAAAGATCTGTGTCAACCCACTCAAATACAAATTGCTTTCCCTCTGGGTTTGAATTGGTCAATGGTAAAGGCACTCACAACATACTGAAACATGTCCAGTATCATATAATCTCACCTTGTATACCAGGCGATTCTTTGAAATAGAGTCACACCTGGCAATAACCAAGTATTTCTCAGACAGTGTGTCTGGGTTAAAGTTGATGGCCAGGGAACTGTCAGTATGAAGAGCCATACTCAAGTTAGCCTGCCACAGACTTCCTACAGCAACAAAAAGAAATTGTTAGGATTTTTTTAGAACAACTCAGCCTTAATATCTTGGAATATGCATATGGCTCACCAATCTCTATACAATACTGGGTCTTCTTTATGTTGAGATTGTTACAGTCTAAAAATGACAAAATTAAATGAGTTAATGAGAACAAGAAAATATATTCAACTTGAATGGATTGAAAGTTCAGCAAATGAACAACGTGAAAAGAAAACAAGATACAAAATTTGCCCTCTATTCTTTGTCTTTATATGATTATTTTTACTTTATTCAATTGCTTTTTAAGCATTTGAGCCAAGTTTCACAACTGTCTGTCAGCTAAATGCCAGTATTGACTTAGACTTACCAGGGATTATGACATCTGCACTGACATCATAGTCGCTGTGCAATATCTCAGGTTTGGGGATGTTGAAGATGGACACCTTATAGCTCTGACCAGGGTCCAACACCAGCATGTCAGAGGAAAATGACCACTGAAAATACAAAATAAAGAAATAAATCTTACAAGTAATGAAACTCTATAAACCTTTAAGTTGTGTTACATTAATTACTTAAATAGGGCTCTTTGAATTTTTCTATAGAAATATTATGTTTTACTCGTCACTCATTTATTTGACACAGAGTTGAAATTGTTATAAGCTAATTGTTATACTCTATCAAACATATACGTAACCTATTGGAATTAATAAACATAGCAGTTGTCTTCAGCATACAAGGTGTAGAAATTCATTTAATCAAAAAGACAAAAAGATCAAAAAGAAAAAAACAAAACTTTAGATGAAAATCTACAGCTGTATGACTTATAAATTCAAATAATTGATCATTCTGAGGAGACTTTGCGTCACTCACCTTTTCCCCTGATGGACTTCTCATTGAAAGCACATTTTTTAAAGAATATCGAATACACACATTCCCATTATTGGACTTTTTCAGAACATGAAGCTCCGTAGCCTTCAGAAAGCGGATACTGCCTGTTAACAAAGTAAGTGTTACTTTTTATGTCTCAAAACTCATAACCAATCTGCACAACAGTGCAATAAAAGATTAATTCATTGTCTTTATACAGATATAACAAAAAAACAGAGGCAGATTACAGATTCAGATAACAGGGTAATTGGATTTTGTTGGAGGAAAAGTTTGGCTATGACCTTAAATCGAATATCCTACATTTTTAATAATTTCCCTCTGGGATAATTAAAGTATTTCTGATTCTGATTTCTGATTTTGATTCTGATATTGTAGGGTTGCATACTAAGAAGAAACCATGGCAGTAATTATCCTTTTAACAATCACCATCATCTTGGATCGTCCAGTTAGCAAGCAGTACAGGATGCAGCTGTCCTCTGTCATCTCGCCTGGTGTGGAATGAAACCTGCAGGTTTTCCGGTCTACTGGGAGTGTAATCATTGACTTTCAGCTCGGGGCTCATACAGTTATCTGCTCACAGAAACACGTACACATTGAATGTCAGTGAAACTTGTCATGATTCAAGCATCTACATTAGCATGATTTTTTTAAAGGGAAGTGTTAAATACAAACACGCCTTTATGTGGCCTTTATCAGTATTAGGTGCCTAATCATATAAAAATAAACTAAATATGTTCTACCCATTCAATTATTACTTGTTTCATTCTGGAACTCATTTTGTAGTAGATAAACACAATCTTTTTGACGTATAGTTTTAAGCAGGTGAATATTTGTGTTTAATAAACTAAACACAAAATAGACTTTCCTCCATTATAAAATGATAACTTTCTCATGTTACCGTCAAGTTTAATTGCCTGTTTCTTTTAAAAACAAAACAAAACAATTGCGTTCTTTAATAAATAGAAGTCAGACAGACACACACACACACATATTATATATACATATATATATACAGCATGTGTGTATGTAGATGGCAGCAAAACTCTTACTTACGTTGTTTGACTGAACAATTCAAGTCCTGTGGCAGAAAACAGAAAGAATATCAAAGAGCATTTGTTTAGTTGTTAGTCTTAATTTTAAACTTATATGTAATTAAAAACGTGTGTAAAGTATATAAACGTGTTAAGTTATAGAAAAAATGTCCAATATTCATTGTTGTCAGTCACAAACTTGCTAAGAAATACTTTGTATAGTTAACTGTTCTAAGTTGGGGTTATTTTGTGCATTCAGGTGTTTTTAATTATTTTCAAGTACATTTTCACTTTGTCACATTTGTTTCCCTATGTTTCACATGATAAAAAACAAAAAAAGTAGATTTACGTGATCTCCATTTGACTCACCTGTCGCGGACAGACCAGAACTCGTTCTGATAAAATGTGCAACGAGGACGAATGCGTCGCAAACATTAATAACAGCACCACTCCGTGAAGGCCCATCTTTTCTTAAAAGAAAATACTAAGGTGTCGATTGTGCCATGTCAAACAAACTCTGGAATTAAAGCCAAACACATCGAGACACTAAGCCAGAGGTCGATGTTTTTTAATAAGAAACTTCCTGCTCAGAGTAAAAATCCCCGTCGTTGATGACGGGAATCGGTATGTGCTTCCTTCACGTCTCTTCGAAATTTAGACGACTCCCACGTGAGCTTATAATGATAATTAGTGGCGTTCTTTTAGTTTCAGCGTTTTAAAGTTGGACATTGCCTAGTTCATCATTACTTTGTCCAAAGTTGTGGTCTGCGCCAAAGATACACTAAAGCCCTCACAATAGCGTAACTCCGACATTAACTAACGTAGTGTCCTGAAGTACTTCTTTTTTTAAATATCTAAAAGGAAATTTTCTATCATTCATAACTGCATAAACATCTAACGTAACTGGATCAGCGCATAAAAAGAAAACAATGTTATGTTTTTACCAAGAAAACACTGGTATGGCAAGGTATTGAAAATCTAAATTGAGAGCTGCACCAACTGTTAATTTCCATAAGGAAGTAAATACCCAGTCTTTTTTTTTGCGACAGTGAATGGTTCATAAACAATTCAGTTCACTTCCTTGTTCTGTGTAATTTCTAACTGAATGTCTACAGCTTCGAATACTAGACCTAAGTTTTAGTTTTGAACTTAGGTCACTTCCATGACAACAGCATATCGTGACTATATATGACACTAAATATATTCAGAGCAGGCAAAAGCAGTGACAGAAAACAGACAGGTCTATTCAGCAAAGCTTAAAAAATAACGAAAAAAGGCGGGTGAAGTTTTGAAGAGCTCGGTTTGCCGTCAGGTGAGGAACTGCACTGTCCGGTAATCGCCACCAGATGGCAAAAGAAGTATTTGCTACACCAGCTGAATGATTTTGAGAATAACATTCAATTGTGAAGTCTGAAACCTTTCTATCTTATTTCTAACGGTCTGCCTCATGTTTGATAAATTGTATTAAACCACACAGTTGTAACCGATAATGATTAAAGGCTGTATTTATATGTCTCTCACTGGGTGAATCAATCTTAATTTATTTGTTTTTGTTCTACCAAATATTTTGAAGTATCACAGCTTTTGTACACTGTCTTATTCCCAACCTGGGTTATTTTGTTATAGCTTAGTTGTTTTTCCAGTGAAGACTATGAACCGGCATTTCTTTATTTTCTGGAGCAAACAATTTTCAAATTTTCACAATAACAGGCAATGGACAGAAGGCAGTCAAAAACACAGTAACACATCTAAGAAAATAAAAGGAGACCCCAGGAGACCCAATGTATATTATTATTTTTATGCTGGCCACTGAACAAATTATTACATTAATCTGGATTCATAGATTTGTTCAGATGATTGTCATCGGCTTAATGATAGATGAATTCTTTGCAGTATAATATTAAAATGGAAGACTATGTTTAAAAAGGAGCAATACAAACACAAAACATGATGGACCTTAACGACTTACTCTGGTAAAAGTATTAAGCTATCCTTTTTTATGCTGCTCAGTTTCCCTGTGTTGTCTACAACTTATTTTCATAAGCCATCTAATCAGAGTATTATTATTCCGTTATAAAGTACTTTAAGTTAAAGTGTATGTGCACTCACAGACAGCAGACTTACTGGTGGTTAACAACATTTCTAAAAGTTGAATAAAGAACCTCTCGTGTTTAACCAGCAGCTAGTTTGGGTTTTGGAGATAGACACCCACTATACCTTGTCCTCATTCAGGGTCACCTGAGACATTCCTAACTATTGTTTCAAAAAGTACCTCAAAAAAGGAAAGTTTTAAAGCTAATTGTAAATACAGAGGGCTCGGATTCTACGGCGCAGAGTGAACTTTCCGAACCTCAAGCTCCTCTGTAGGACTCTACAACCCGTTGGAATACAACCAGCTCCGGCTACGTCCTCCTCCCGTATTGGTTTGGTCAATGCAAGATCGATGACAAACAAAACATTTATTCTACGGGAATTTTTCAACTCTCGCTGTCTGGACTTCCTCTGTATTACGGAAACATGGCTGCGTGATGGTGAGTCAAGCGCTCTAACTGAACTCCTACCCGCGGGGTGCAATGTTTTTAATTGTCCTCGTACTAAAAGCCGAGGTGGGGGCATAGCGGTTATGTTTAAGGACAAATACAAATGTAGACGATTGACCTTCTCTTTTGCAAGTTTTGAGTCAGTCATATTCGAGGTGGGTCGCACGACTCTGTTTTGATGGCCGTCATTTACCGGCCCCCAAAATAAAACAAAGACTTTTTGGACGAATTTTCAGATTTTTTAGCAAGCGTGATGTCTTCTTATGATCGTGTTCTTATCGTCGGCGATTTTAATATTCACGTGTGCTGCCCCGATAAGCCCCTGGTGAAAGACTTTTTAAACATTGTTGACTCTTTTGACTTGCTACAATCAGTGTCTGCTCCCACACACGAACATGGACACATTCTTGACCTCGTTTTCTCCCATGGGTTAGCCGTTTCAAACCTGGAGATCAGTGACATTGCACTTTCGGATCACATGACCGTGACTTGCGATATCAACATGCCAGGCCCACAAGTCAAAGCCCCCACTCGCAGATGCTGTCGGAGTTTTAACCCTCTCACGGCTGGCAAGTTTTCGGCTGCGTTTCAGGGTCTGGCTGCTGACCAAGTGCCCTCTGATACTGATGCGCTAAGCTCATGGTTTTACTCCTCCTGCAAAACCATATTGGACTCTGTAGCACCATATAAAACAAGGCAGCCCAGATCTAAAGTTGAGCCCTGGTTTAATGACACGACCAGAGCCGCCAAACAAGACTGCCGCAGGGCGGAGCGCAAGTGGAAGAAGGACAAATTGCAGGTGTCACATCAAATTTTAAAGGACTGCTGGCGCCAATATCAAAATACTGTAAAGGATGCAAAAAGACTTTACCTCTCAAACATAATATCAGCAAATTGTCATAATCCACGCATGTTATTTAGAACCATTGACTCTGTTCTTAATGCTCCATCAACTGTCTGTCTAGAATCCTCTAAGGACATTTGCAATGACTTTCTCTTATTCTTTACTGATAAGATCACCACCACTAGAGCCTTGATCACACACTCTTCTGCTTCTGACCCCTGTCCTTCCTTCAATCTTGGGCCAGACGTTTGGCCACTACTGGAGTGCTCTGCTGTTTTCCATCAGTTTGATCCCGTGACTCTCCCTTTACTGGAGAAAGTAGCGAACAGTATTAAACCCTCTGGCTTACCTTGTGATCCACTTCCCCCAAAACTTTTTAGGGAAGTCCTCCCCTGCATAGGACCGACGGTCCTGGATATTATTAATTCTAGCCTCTCTACCGGTGTGGTCCCTATAGCATTTAAACATGCAATAGTGCAGCCCCTTGTCAAGAAGCCTGGACTTGACCAAAAGGTGTTGGCAAACTTCCGCCCCATATCCAAGTTGCCATTTTTATCCAAGATCTTGGAGAAAATAGTGTTTAATCAATTAAAGGCCTTTTTAGATTAACATAACTCATGGGAGGTTTTTCAGTCTGGTTTCAGAGTTCTTCATAGCACTGAGTCAGCTTTATTGAAAGTTTTTAATGACATTTTACTCGCATCTGACTGTGGTGACAATGTGGTTTTAGTCTTGTTTGATCTTTCCGCTGCTTTTGATACGGTGGACCACGACATTTTACTAGCTAGGCTTCAGCACCTTGTGGGCATCCGCGGCTCAGCGCTGGAATGGCTCCGGTCTTACTTAGCAGACAGAACATTCTGTGTTGACTTTGGTTGCTCTCAGTCCTCCTCTGCTTCTCTACAATATGGAGTCCCACAAGGGTCAATACTGGGGCCACTGCTCTTCTCCCTCTATCTACTCCCACTGGGTTCCATCCTGAGAAAGTATGGCATTTCCTTTCATTGCTATGCTGATGACCTACAAGTATACATTCCGGTAAATCAGAATGGGGCCCTGTCTTTGAATTCCCTTCACAACTGTCTTCATGAAATCAAAGCTTGGATGTCACAAAACTTTTTGAAGCTAAATGATGACAAAACTGAGA